AAGAATCATCCAAGTCATTTTTGGAGAATGTATGTGAAGTATTTGTGTCATTTTTGGAATTAAAGAATTATGTCTTTATGCCATTGGTTAGGCAATACTCTATATATGACTTCTGCTTTTAAAAATTTGCTCAATTTTTATATTTGAAAATTTATTGGCAAAATGACAGAATAAAAAAAATTACTGTGTAGGCTTGCCACGATTCTATTATAGATTTAGATTTAGCTATAAATCATTTTAATTTACACTGAGCCAAAAAATTAGCATTATTAAATAAATTAGATATGTATACAAACTTCTTGTTAATTATGTGTGTTTTTGTCATGGTCAAGCCATATTGTGATATATTTTTTTAAAATTTTTTTTATAGAAACATATCTTTATCTAGGTAGCTAATACAATAGATAAATTTAATCTGTTAGAACATAAATGTTGTAATTGTTATATATCGTTTTCATAGGGGGAAAAGGACTTAGTAGTACAATTTTTTATAGTTTAAAAAATTTTTTTTATAGAAATCTATTTTTATCTAGCTAGCTAATACAATAGATAAATTAAATCAGTTAGAACATAAATGTTTTAATTGTTATATATCGTTTTCACATGGCGAAAAGGACTTAGTAGTACAATTTCTTATATTTTAAAAAAAAATTTTTTTATAGAAATATATTTTTATCTACAATAGATAAATTAAATCTGTTAGAACATAAATGTTGTAATTGTTATATATCGTTTTCACAGGGCGTAGTACAATTTCTTATAGTTAAAAAAATTTTTTTTATAGAAATATATTTTTATCTAGCTAGCTAATACAATAGATAAATTAAATCAGTTAGAACATAAATATTTTAATTGTTATATATCATTTTCACAGGGCGAAGGACTTAGTAGTACAATTTCTTATATTTTAAAAAAAAATTTTTTTATAGAAATATATTTTTATCTACAATAGATAAATTAAATCTGTTAGAACATAAATGTTGTAATTGTTATATATCGTTTTCACAGGGCGTAGTACAGTTTCTTATATTTAAAAAAAATTTTTTTTTATAGAAATATATTTTTATCTAGCTAGCTAATACAATAGATAAATTAAATCTGTTAGAACATAAATATTTTCATTGTTATATATCATTTTCACAGGGCGAAGGACTTAGTAGTCCAGTTCCTTATTCTTAGTTAATTTTTAAATTTATTTTATTGTTAAATAAATAAATAAATATATCGTTTTTTTATTTTCAGTGAATAAATCTCATTCCGTTGACTTGTATATACCACCAGCATTACGAAATTTCGAATTAAATGAAGGTTCATACAGAAATGCTACTGCAGCATATGCAACTATCTCAAATAATACATATTCGACCTCAACGACATCTTCACCAATATCCACTAATAACTCTCCCATACATTTAAATGAGAATAGCAGTTTCGACAATTCAGTGACCTCCAAATGCATTGTATTACCGAAACCAACGTTAACAACAGCCACAGCGCCAACCACGGCAACAATAACAACAATCGCGCCAATTGCACAAAATGTGGAAAACGGGGAGCAAAGGTAAGGCGAAAAGATATAAAAATTTACAAATTATGCTAATGAGTTAATAGGTAAATACCTTTGTGCTTCGCACGCTTTAATATGTATGATTTGTTTGTTTAAATTATTTTGAAACTGTCATAAAAGAGAGAAAAAAAAATTATTTTTTTTTTATACATACATATGTATTGCAAATTCATACGAAGCGAAGTGTTTTCGTGAACGTATTTCGCTGTCAACGAACTCGAGGCACTTGTTTGGCTTTAATTTGTTTTATTGTATTTAATTGTTTTATGAAATTCTTTATTTAATTTTTTGTTTTGCTCATCTGTTTCTATGCTTTCATGTGTCTTTCTTACCAAAATTTTTTACTCTACTCGATTATTATACACATAGGCAAAAGCAAGCAAGACGTGAGCGACGACCAGATCGTGTAATCTACGTTCCAAGGGCACGACGAAGTCAAACAACTCCGCCGACAACGCAGCCACAAGCAACAACAACAACAACTGCGTATACAGCTGCTGCTGAAGTTACAGCAGCTACCTCGGCCACAACCAGTGCCAGTAAGCAATTGGCAATTATTTCTAATTCAGCGACATCAGTCTCTGCTGTAACGTCAACCAAAGCAGACGGTGTTGATGGTGGTATTGGTGTTAGTGTGTCAACGGCGTCTAAAAAATTAAAAACGAGTAGTACCCACAAAGAGCGTAAAGAACGTAAGAGAACTACAAATACGATACAAAATAGAACTACAAATATTGTAGATAATTGCGCGCCGCAATCAGCTAGCATAATAATACCTGTTCAAAGTGGAACTGATAATTTTGATGTAACATATTTAAATAACTGTGATAGTGAACAACAACAACAACAACAACAAACACAACCTCAATCTCCTGCAGAGGGAAACACTCATTTACAAATTATAAATAATTTTCCAAAACAAAATATAAAAAACTTGAATTCATACGATTACCTGCATAATTCTGAAAATATTTGTTCTCAATTAAACGATACTAACGAAATGAAATCATCGAAAAAACATAATAAAAATCAAAGAACCTTAAAAGTGGAAACCGTGGGGAAGCCTGCTAATCTGCTTATTGAAGATGTTGTTACCAATGACACATCACGCACTCTTCCAAAATGTGATATAGACGAACAGGAACTGCAAAGAGCATCAAAGGTGAATATTAGTTTTAAGAAGTGAATCAAATGAAAGTAAATTAATACTTAGATTAATGTAGATTAATCTATTTTAGATGATTAGATTATTTTAGACATTATCTTAGATGATATGTTATTATTTTTTTATTTAATGTTTTTCATATATATTTTTATCTGGATATAGGTCACTTTGTGTTAAAATTAAAATTCAACGTTTGTTTAATATATTCCATATTTCGACTCTTCTTAAGAGTTATCATCAGAATCGGGATCTAACATAAATTAATATAAAGAAAATCATAAAATCAACATAAAAGTCAAGTACGGCTTTAGGTCAGTTGGTTAAGGTGCGCTGATGCCTGTTACTTGTAGATTCAAAAAATTATTTACGAATAATTAAATACAAGAATTATTTGCAAGACCACTGATGATGGGTATTTGGCAATACTCGAAACAGCTGTATGGTCAGCCAAAAATTCAATTAATTAAAATAATATAAAAATAAATTTTTGTTGTGGTAGTTTTACTGTTCAAAAAACCTCTATATGTAAATAAAATATATATCTACACGTCATGCTTGTTCACTATAAAACCTACAAATATCATTACAGTAAGTTTGAAAACTTACTTCTTTTGTAAGGTGTTAATTTAACGTACAGTTTCCTGATTAAATACCTGTAATGATTTTTAAATAATTTTTACTCAATTGCATACAATCCTTAAACTGTAAATTATCCCAAAATAACTTTCTAGTTTGTACTCTTCTTTCTGAATGAATGAAAAGAAAAAATTTTCTGTCATGCCACAATATGGTTCCGGGCCTACAAGCAACGATACTTCCCTTTTCCTAGCAAGTTTATCTGTAGTTTCGTTGACAAAAATACCAGCGTGTCCTGATCAAATTCATATCTGATTGTTTCATCCAAGTATATACAACTTTTCGAGTTTATTATTACGGATAGGTTGTACATGCACTGAAAGATCTTTTGTGCAGAGCTTTTCGAGATACTCAATTACCTGTCTTTCCCATAGATCATATCACCATAGACCATATTACAATAGATCATATCACTATAAATCATAACACTATAGATCATATCAATATATATCATATAGACTTCTCCTGATTTGGCTCTTTCCTTTTTTGAGTTTTTTCCAAGCTCAAATTACTACTTCGATGAATATAGATTTTATTATTCTGATGATGACTCTCAAGGAGAGTCGAAATATAGAATATATTAAAAAATATTAAATAAACGTTGAATTTTAATTTGAACAAAAAGTGACCTATAATTGGATAAAAATATATAAAAACCATTATTAAAAAAGATGTCGACAAATAAATTTAAAATTTAATTTTTTTATTTATATAAGTAAGTTTTAGGTAAATATAATATATGTTACATGTTAATATAATGTGATATAAAAAGTATACACCGTTTTCTGACACATTTTTGAACGAAACTTTTTTATTGGATATAAATTTTAATAAACTTTATGGTTGATTGGTTACAGTGACAGGTCAGCATATCTTTTTCTGCTGACAACAATAAACGTTTTTAGCCATTTTACTAACACATTCCTCCCAAGAAACCAAACGTTTCGCAAAAGTTTTATTGAGCATTATTAGTTATAATGTTTACCGATAGCTTTATACTCCATCGACACAGAACTACTTTAATTTTTCGGCAATTAACTTGGCCATATGATCTACAGCAGCTATTGGTTACAAGAACGACCGGTAGCCACTTGTTAACGACGACCAAGTGCCATTCGACACCTCCCAAAAGAACTTTTCAAGCAGGTCTCAGCGAATTACAACAACAATAAAAACAGCAGCTATTCTGTCGGTCAATTTTTTTTATCGTTAAGAGAGTTTTGAAGAGGCCGTAACAAATGATAGTCAGATCCTTGTACGAGTGTACAGGTCAAACAGTGGATGCATCAATACTTTCACAATTTCTTTACTGTTGGTCAATTCTGGTCGACTTTTCTTGATTGTTTTGTTTAAGCAGTCGAGCTATAAGCAGTAGAGAATCAAATCAAAACAAATCATTTAAATACCATCCAACACTCAGAAACTACAAAAACTATCAAACACATAGCTTTAGTTGACTTCAATCCGAGCTTTGAAGTGATTTATGGAAAACCATTGCAAAATTTTATCGACTTTTTAGTAACTAACCGACCAGAGCGAGGTATGATATAAAAATTTTCTGAAAAGAATCTAGTCACAGATAGATTTTGCTATATTTTATATCAGTAGTAGGTAACGTTAGTTGAAAGAATGCCCTGTTTTGATACCACAGATAGGATACAGTCCTCAAGAAAATCTCAACAATTACTTTGAAAGCAAAACTTCCAAACTTATAGTGTAAAAATAGAAAACGATCGTCCTATCAGAATGATCGTCCTATCAGGTCCGTTAGGAAGGTTATAAATCTTTTTGTCAATGACAGGCAGTAACACATCATGTGAGGTGGTGTCCGACAAAGCCCCGACAAAAGTCGTTAAAATGTTCACCAAATCTTATTGAATGTCTTCTTAAAACGCAGTGGTCTAGAGTAGTGCAATTAGTCATAATTCTTACTGGTTTTGCGAGTACTTAAAGGACCTAGCATCGCTCTGCATGCATTTCCCGTAAATATAAAGAAAATGCCGTATGCTGTTGCTTGATCATAAAACAGCTACTTTAGGCTCTCATTTCCAATATATTATTTAAGTCACAATGTATATTGTCCTCAATTGTCTATATATGAACCGTACTCTTACTCTTTCCCACATTATTTATGAACTGATTTCTGTAGTCTCTTGTTTGCAAAAGATCAGTACTTTTATATAAGAAGTCTTTTTTTTGTCAGTTATTAGTTTTTTTTGTGTTTATATAAAACTCAGTTTTGATAAAAGAAAATGATTTGATCAGCAGGGTTTTTTAAGAAAACATTACTTATTTTTTATGTATGTAACCAATTTTTAATTTGTATATTGTAGGAAATAAATCGCAGCAATCGTCGTATTATCAAACAATCCTTCGTGTCGGATGTTTTAGAAATTCCAGAAAGAATAGAGCAGAACGGTACCGATATTGAAAAACCTAACGCAAAAACAAGTAAATCTGTTGACGTTAGTAGTAATACAGAGGAAGAGGAAGATGATTGGGAAACAATGTTTGATGAGAGTGGTGAATGCTTGGATCCAAAAATTTTAGAAGAATTAACAGCATCTGTTGGAAAAGTAAAAATTGAATTACCAAAAATGGATTATAATGTAAGTTTTTAATAATAAATATTTAATTAAATTTGCTGATATATGATATAAACTTTTTAATTGTAGACATATTTAACAAAACAAACAATTTTAAACGAAGAAGAGTTTCCACATGTTCTCGAAGTTTCAAATTTTCCTGTTGAATTTAAGAATCAAGATCTTTTAATGTTATTCTCACAATATAAAGAATCTGGTTTTGATATAAAATGGGTGGATGATACTCATGCCTTGGCTGTGTTTAGTAGTTCTCGTATAGGTTTGTATTATATAAACTAATGGATAATTAAGTTATATATCTTACTTTTTTTTAACGGTTATAGCTGCTGAAGTTTTATCAATGAGACATCCGTTTGTGGTATTAAAGCCATTAGCTGAAGCTACAGCAGAATCTCGACTAAAGGCAAAGAAATGTGCTACATCCTTGCAACCATATCGTCCACGTCCTGAAACATGTGCTGCACTTGCACGACGCCTGGTAACAGGTGCTTTGGGTGTTCGCTTAAAAACTGCCGCTGCAGAACGAGAAAATGAAAAACGTGTCCTACGTGAAGCCAAAGGTAAATATAATATCGTATTGTTTTTCTGGCCCGTTATTTTGAGCAACCATTTACTGATATACTTTACTTCTCGATATTGAGATTCAAAGTTGTAAATTTTTTATATTGATTACACAAGCACTGGTTTTCACGTAAAAATTTCTAATTCGAAATTCAATATCTCGAAAATTACACCATGTGAGTAACAGCGTAGTAGAGTATTGTTCAAAATTGCTATCTGCACTAAAATCTCTTGTCAAATAAGTCCGGGATATTAGTACCATGACAATACAGCTTTGTACAATATATATTTAAACATTTTTACTTTCAGAACGAAAATTACTGGCAGCTAAGCAACGTGATGAAGCATGGGATAATTAGGTGATTAATATAAATATTGCAGACTTGCCTCCTTAACTATTCTCTGCCATCCTTTTTGTGTACGTTGTCTTTAAAGACTTTCTATGAAATATATAAGAATAAGTTAATATCAAATATGCAAACATTGCATTTTAGCAGCTTTAAGAATAAATGTTTTAAGTATAATAATTTAAAAATTATAATTGTAAAATAAGTAAAATTTTAATCATTTCAATTGTACAACATCCTCTATCATTAATAAAAATATTCATATAAATCAATTTCTTGTATACATACATACAAATATTGTACAACAATATTGCTCAATTGATTAATTTTAAGCTTATAAATCTTGTAATCTGTAATCTGTGTTGATATATTTACAAAAACGAAGATATGTAAAAGTCAGATTTATTATGTACAATTTCTAATAAGAAGAAACTAATATTTTAACAATATTTACTATAAAACAATATATAATATTTTTTAAAATACAATTTTATTTTATATACATAATTATGGTCGCCTATTTATTTTATTAAATTATTTAAGATTATTTCATAAATATATAAAAAATATTTATACGAGTATTTCGCTGCAGTAACTATTGTGTTAATTCCATAGGTTGCTGGCAAGACTAGTAACTAAAAAATACAGACTAAACCGATACGATAACAAAAACGATATTCAATAAAACTGTGGGTACCGCATTCTGTTTGAAACTTCAACTGTGCAACATGGCAATGAATACTAGACCGATATGATAAGCAATATTTACTTTGTTTTAATGAGTTCCTCTGAAACTCATTTTGCTTTTTGCACAAAAGAAATAATAAAGAAAACCAAATACTGGGTACATCCCATAAAGTTTGCAATTTTGAACCCAGTCGGTTATTGTAGCCAACCGTCCATCAAAAAGCAAGCATGTAAACGATTGACAAGACATAGCACAATGGGATGAAATAGGGAAAATAATATGAAGATGGGAGTAAAAAAAAGTAAGAAATAAATTAGAGATAGAGATTATGAATCTAACATGGTCCAGATAAAGAAATATTGCCATCTCAACAGGGTTGTAGTCATAAATTAATAGGGCTAAAATTTGTATGTACATTTGACTAATAAAATTTATAAAAAAAGAATAGATAAATGAGCTGTAATTGGCGGTACATAATTGGGAAACTATACTTTTTGCCGCACAAGGACAGCTTGTTGATAACCTTATTGTTAGACAACCGTGCTCTCGAAGAAAATACTGCACCGGGATAGATCACGAAAAGCTCAATCCCATGTTGTTGTTGTGATAACCCGTGGAAATCTATGAATTACTTACTGGTACAATCCCTTTTCGGAATGGTGAACCGCACTTGGTTGTCGAAGTTGACAAGTAACTCTTGGACGTAGATCCGGCCGCTTTTAGAATTGCCCTAGTCTAGAGTCAACGTCACTGATATTATCAAAGTTGCGCAAGTGGTCGATGTATTCATGATATGAAAAAAAAAGGATCCATCTATACGACAGGGAGGAAGAAACAAGGCTGTATTTATTATAATCGAATTTGAACGTCCATCTGTGTGTTACGAAAGAAAAAACTGTTTTAAAAGTAACTGGTTATATCCCTTGAAAATGAGCATTTTAGATTCCGCATGAAAACGACTAATGTAGGACATTCAATATCAGCCGATTAAAGATGAAGAGCAGAGTTTTGACGAGTTTTGAAATTATTCCTATAGACATATAGACTCTATGCCGGTGCAGCATAAGCCTCACTGGAGTGTCCTATTGGTTTCGGTGTGTTCAACAAGGTTACTTTACCTGTACTCTAAAAACAGTTACGATCTCATCAAGTTGCCTTAAGTCTTCAAGTGACCGCATACAGTATAACAAAGGCAAGTGCACTGTTTATTATTGTCGGCTTATTCTTCAACAATACTTCTCCATCACAGACTAACTTTGTCTGACTTAGTCTGACAATATGATTTGGTAATGAATTTGAAACCTGAATAAATTAATATCCATTATTATTTAATAGGTATTAGATACATACAATTTTTTATTAATTTGTAGCAATATTTTTATTTATTTATTTTATTTTATTACAATTTATAAATAATATATTATATTAATAGGTATGTGATACATACAATTTTTTATAAATTTCTAACAATATTTTTATTTATTTATTTTACTTTTATTTATTTATTTTATTTTTATATATTTATTTTATTTTTATTTATTTATTTTATTTTTATTTATTATAATTTATAAACAATATGTTATTTAAATAGGTATTAGATACATACAATTTTTTATTAATTTGTGGCAATATTTTTATTTATTTATTTTATATTTTTTTATTATAATGTATAAACAATGTATTATTGTAATAGGTATTAGAGACACAATTTTTTTATAAATTTCTAGCAATATTTTTATTTATTCATTTTATTTTTGTTTGTTATAATTTATAAATAATATATTATTTTAATAGGTACGTATAGATACACACAATTTTTTAAAAATTATTTTGAGAATAATTTTTTAAAAATAATATATTCAAATTATATATTTAAATTATTTATATACACTCTCTTTTTACAATTGTTACTTGTCTTATAAATCATATTGATTTAATCACACGACTTATTCATATTAGTTTTAATAAAATCCAAATAAGGTGCGACTCTTATAAAAATGTCATAATAACTTATATATGCCAATATTTTACTATCTAATAAACCGATTAAATAATAGTTATGTGGCTCTCCATCTTTAATTGTAACTCCCATAACAGGTGAACCTGAAATAAGGTTATGGCTTTGTGCACGACTTAAGCATATATTTGTATCGTTTATATAGGGTAACCATCCGCCCATATTATTTTGGCATGTTCTCATGCTTATGACCATACCCATTGTTTTCAGCATTTTTGAATTTTTTTTTGAATTTTGATATCCTACATATCGTAAGTATTGCGCTAAATGATCGTTTGGAGACCATTCTTCAGGTGGCAAACAAATTGGTCTGACAAATTCTGTTATATTAACTTCTGTCGCAAGCGTCAATACTACTATATCATTATTACCGGTACGATTTTGAAACCTTGGATGTAATGCGACTTCCATAATACTGTATTGTTGAGGAACTTCATTGCAGCTACTATTTTTGTGCATACAATCGCGTTTAGTTACACTGTTTGCTATATCCCAATCACCTAGAATTACTAAATTTGGCATTAGTGTTTTATCTATAAAGCAACGGGCGCGAGATAGCATATGGCTTTTGCTTATTAATACCGCAATGCAAGCATAGTAAGTCGTGTTTTTAGGATCGGTTTCTGTAAGAAATCAAATTAGAGTTACAAAATTTTTTTTTTGATGATATATATTTACCACTTTTGTAAGCTATTCGACCAACCCATGGAAATTCATTTATATGTGCCACATTCTTCGATAGAGCATAAAAGGTTGGATCCAGCAAACCACATTCTTCTTCAGCTCCAATTGTTGAATTTATTTGAACAAAAACTATAAAAAATTTAAAAATTATTCAAAAAATAAATTAAAATTTTATTTACTTAATATGAGTGTGAGACTCTTTAGTAGATTTGATGCGTTGGCGAGCATATTTACTGTGCAAATGTAAAGTATTTTAGGAACAATTGCTCAAAATTTTATTTTATTTATTATTATTCGCATAAAACATATACATTGTTCCAATTGTTAATTTTTAACTCAAGTGATAAACAATAAAAAGTACATAAATATCCATGACTAATCTGAAGTACACTCCCAACAGAAGTAGAGATTAAAAGCATAACACTTCAATACCGACATATACTAAAGCAACACTTAAAAAAAAAACACATATATATATATATCTTTATATCCAAATAAATGTACTAAATTATACAGGCAGTAAACTTTTCGTTGAAGTTTGTATCTTCAATTGGACAGGAAAATTATGGAAATAACATTTACCTATAATTGACCGCGTTTGTATAACGATTTCTAAGTATAGAACCCCACCTGAAAGCAATTATATAAAAGGTTGACAAAACACTAAAAAAAGGTGGGATGGGGAAAGTAATATAGAAAGAGAATCAAGTAAATAATAGCGCTCATGTTGGGATATTAAATTTAACCGAAGTCCATATGAAGAAATCTTACCACTTCAACGGGGTGAAACTAGGCCTCAAATTTGTTTGTGCCCTTAAGGGAGAAAATAGATGAAGCTCAAATAAATCAATAGGGTTCAAACAATAATTGCTTAGTAGATGGCTATATCCTGAACTTATTTGGATAAGTTCAGTATCTAGTATCCTGCTGCACTAGGAAGAGAACATGCTGTTAGACAACCGTGGTCTCGTAGACAATACTACTTCCATGTAGAGAGCGGAAATAGTATTTATTAGTGTTATTACTGTTGCCACAGGGGTGCCGCATGGATTGTAGTGTGTATATGTCTACATTAATGCCATATAATTTGAGAACATTCAATTTCTGAATATAGTCACAATGCTCTCTCAACGGGTATATAAAACCACACAAGATTTGCAGACATGAGGTAAACAAAGTAAGCTGAGCTAGAAGCTGAGCTAGAACACTACGCTACCATAGTGTTACGATATACAATCTTATGTATACATAGCTATATGCGCTGCAATGAACTGTACTTAGATCTGAATCATTAATAATGGACTAAATAAAGTCAGTCTTGATAAAAAAAAGCAAACAATCATTTTCACAATTATTTTTAAGCTCACTATAAGATGTCTATCTGTATGACACGAAATGAGAAATTGTTGGGATTGTTCTACCTATTAAGGACCATTTTAGATTCTGTTTGAAGACGGTTAACTTGTGATATGTGATTTGGTTTTATTTAGTTGTAATCTAAAAAGGTTCCATTACAACACACCAGAGGCTAAGTAACAATCGAAACAATGAATTTCTTTGAGCAGATCGCAGCTAAAGGTAATAGTAATCTTATGTGGTTAACAAAAGAATTCTTCTGAAGCACATACTATAAATCATATTAAAAACTTGCCAGAAACAAAACAGCAATCAGAACAAAAAAATTTTTTTGAACGGATAAGAGTTGAAGTTCAAGATAAATGAATTAATTCAAGAAAATAGCTCTTCAAAACCTGCAAAGTACTAGAAAACTTAATCTGTAATGTTCTAGCATTTATATTTATATCTTTCCATCTGGTTACTTAAAGCATTCCCGGTCGCAGCACTAGCTTTAAAAATAGCTAATACTAGTCATTTGGGAAACGGACAAAGTCATTTAATCTTGTACTATCTCTAATGACAACGGGATAAAATCATTACTAGTGAAAATAAAACATTAAGCTTTAAATCACGATCCGAGCTCCATCCGAGCTTATTCCTTGTTTTGTTTATATATTGTTTCAGTGTATGTTGACGAACTGTCCTATACTGATTGCTTTGTAAAATGTAGATAGTTTTATAAATAAGTAACTAACCTTAACAAATAACAGGATCAGTATTAATTTCTTATTTTTTCCGGATGAAAAACTGTAATAAAACTTGTACAAGAAATGAATAAAACTGAACTTAAAAAATTTTGTACATTATGTCACTTAAAACAAAACTAAACTATACCATATACATATGTGAACAGAGTCCTTAAATTGATTTCCAGGAGTCCCTCAAGCTCTCCACCACATGACTACGTGGTATACGATTGCTGTATTAATTTATTGTATTTATGTTTTATGTTCTGTGGTATATTTGTATTAT